GATGAACTGTGTGCGGCTGACCCGGAAAGGAATGTCGTAGACTATTTACTCTATGAGTAGGAGGTGTGTCGTAAAAGAACTGGAAATGAACGATCCCAAGAGTGCTGCGCCATCTACCTTGGCTTCTTGCCGCCTTCCTGTCACCTTGACATTTCTTCTTGATCTTTCACAGTCGTCGCGGGAGTGCATGATTGTCTGCCCCAGGTGAGTAGAAAGACCCTGACAGCATCTTCCTGATCGACAAACATCAACAAGCTTTATCACGCAAGCAGATACATGGCCGGCAGTATTCTAAAAGCCTCTCCAAAGCTCTTTCAGCAACATTCCGCAGGAGCTCGTTGAAGCTGCTGTGCTCTTCTCGGTGACTCGCTCTCTTCTCTTCGCTTGACCAGTCAACGAATGGCACAGGATAATGGAAGGCGGTATGCTAAGTCTGAAAGCACACAGAGACAAGCGCGAGTTAGATGCATCGAGACCATGATAGTATCTCACTCATCCATGATAGTATCTCACTGACAACGTGAACAAGCTCTATCACTCCTAGCAGATGCATTGCTCTATGAGCACCAGACTCCCACCTACCCTGCTACTGGCAGCATCACAACTTCAAGTGTTCCCAACTGTCTCTCCTCTACCTCTCTGCCTCCGCTCCTTCTCCTGCCATGTGCTCCGCGGCCTTCTATACTGCTGCGCGTTGCATCCACCTTGGCCTCTCAAGGTTTGAACGGCTTCACCATGCATCGCCCTCTTCTCAGCTCGCGCCCTCCTCCTTCTTGCAAGGCTGCGGCAGGGCTCGCGACATTCTGCAGGAGCTCACAGCCGCTGCTGTGCTGCTGGAGGTATGGCTGTGACTGGTATCACCAGGACAATCGTCAAGAAGCTTCATGGTATCGCCAGAACAATCGTCAAGAAGCTTCATGGTATCGCCAGAACAATCGTCAAGAAGCTTCATCAGCTTGTATGTGTTATCGCGGGAACAATCGTTTAAGTTTGGGTTCAGTGACCTGAAATGAAATCACGCCATTTCAAATCTTCATTCTACTAGACTTTTAAAAAGCTTTCGCGTGTCAACCTCGCTTTCAAGTTTTCTTTTCTTTTTAATTGTTGAGTGAAAAAGATTCAACGGTCGCAGGTTGACCGACCATGGCAAGGGAGGGAGCGGGAGGGGAAGGGGGAGGAGGCGAGGGAGGGTGGAAGGTGATGTGAATGGGCAGGGAGAGAGGAAGAGGGAGAGAGGATGAGGGAGAGAGGAAGAGGGAGAGAGGAAGAGGGAGAGAGGAAGAGGGAGAGAGGAAGAGGGAGGGAGGAAGAGGGAGAGAGGAAGAGGGAGAGAGGAAGAGGGAGAGAGGAAGAGGGAGGGAGGAAGAGGGAGAGAGGAAGAGGGAGAGAGAAGAGGGAGAGAGGAAGAGGGAGAGAGGAAGAGGGAGAGAGGATGAGGGAGAGAGGAAGAGGGAGAGAGGAAGAGGGAGAGAGGCAGGTGGGCAGGATAGACTCGGGGCAACAGCGAGATGGTGAGTGATGAAACGAATTAGGGGGGGAGGGAGGATTGAACATGCTGACAAGAACATGTGTATGAGCAAAGAACAGGGCGTGTTGATTGGAGAGGAATGAAGGGAGATGAATGCATGCAAGAGTGATAAGTGAAACGAAAGATGGAAGGGACGGAATGCTGGAAAATCTTGAGAGCTGTATCTCTTTGATACGATTATCATGAGATCTGATATCTTTGCTTGCTCCCAGTATGATTGACCGAACAAACAAGACGCAAGTTTCTGCCAGCGCACGAGCTGCATTGTTGATGAAACAGGATGCAAACATACGGTCCGCAGCAAGTGCAAGCTTGCTCCGTAAGGCAAGGACTGCAGTGAAGAACCAGGACAACAGCCAAGATGCGCAGTACTCGTTGTCGATGTTGCAAGCAGCTGCAAACAGCTCTGACGACATTATATCGAGCAAACTCCTTGTTTCCTTGGGATCGCAGAACGAGGTCGAGCAGCAAGTACTTGCTTGCAAGGTATTCGGTGCCACCATCTCATCGAGAGTTGAGAATAGGCAGATGTAAGTCAATGCTGCTTGTTTGATGTCTCTGAAAACAAACATGCACACATAAAACACTCATGTTGCACATTCCTTCACAGAAAAGCTCAATCCCTTGCTTCTCCTTTCCTTCAAGTGCCCTTGGCATGATGATCTTGGTTGTTTCTCACCAACTTACAGCTCCTCCTGGCAGGATCGATAAAGACGTCGTCGAGCAGCTCAGCCTGAAAGCCACCTTAGCCAAAGACAACATGATCCGCCTTGCAGCCCTCGTTGCCCTCCGCGTCAGTCCTCCTGCCTCCTCCTCACCTACTGTTCTCACGTGCTTGACAGGCCCTTGTGGTACAAGGAAGACAGGACGCGCTGAGGACAGCAGTTCAGTGCCTTCAGCATGACAGCAACGCGTCTGTCCGATCCGAAGCATCCTCCTCCCTCCTCTGTGCGGCGAGACAAGGATGGTCTACCATGGTCTATGGGCCAAACAGGCAGGAGGGGGAGGATGCAGAGGAGAGAAAGGAAGGGGAGGCGGAAGAGGGGAGGGGAGGGAGGAGAGGAGGGGATAGTGAGGAAGGAGAATTTCCTTGTGGACGGAAGGTGGCAAGGGAGTGGGAGAGAGCGATAGTAGAACGACTCAAGGACGACGAGCCTGACGTGCGAGCAGCCAGTGCTGAGATGATGGGTAAGATGAATATGACATGATCGAGGAGGAGGAGGAGGAGGTGGTGGTGGTGGTGATGATGATGATGATGACGACGACGAGGACGATGATGATGACGACGACGAGGACGATGATGATGATAACGATGATGATACTGATGATGATGATGATGATGATGGGTAATATGATGACGACAATCATGGTGGTAGTGATGATGTCAAGGTCATGGAAGAATGATCTTGGAAGGAAAAGAGGATGAGGAAATTGTATGCAAATGATGTCAACACGATGAAATGAATCAAAGTGAAGGGAACAACATGGTTGCAGATTTTCATGTCTTGTTGTGAGTTCTCCTGTCAGGAATCAGGTTCTCTCATCCGCCTGGGAGATTGTTCCATGAGAAGATGACGGCCCTCGAGAAGCTTGCAGGTGATAAGAGTGGGAGGAGAAACAAATTATCATCAAGTTGTGAGAAGATTTACAAGTCATCATCAAGTTGTAACTAAGATTGCTATCTGAATATTCGTTTTCTGATCAGGATTGATCGACGACCCCAACACAACGACAAGGTTGATTGCTATTAGATCTTGCAAACAGATCGCGGACGCAATCAGAGGAAATGTCAGAGCAAGGTGTCAAACTATCGATAAGATGCTTTTTTCCCTCAGCAGAAGGCTGGTTGACAAAGACCGACTGGTTGCGAATGCTGCAAAGGATTGTTTGTTGTCTCTCAACCCTCTCATCATTGAAAATGCTGATTAATCCTCATTACATGTTTCGTAAGCATTCTCCCCGAGAAATCATTGCCAGTCTCATACTTGTAATCAGAATCTCACGCCACTGTC